GGATACCCATAATGCCTGCGGAATACGACTCAGCAATAAAAAGGAAGAAACCAATGTTACACACAACGTGGATAGATCTCAAGGCCATTTAACTAAATAGAAAATCTCAAAAAATCACATATTGCATGATCCTATTTCTATAACTATAGTTACATAAAATATACCCATTGGAAGAAATGAATGAACGTACCCAGGACCTTTCTGTATGATCTTTGCAATGTCCCGGAATGAAGGAATTTGCAAATCTACAAATTTTACAAAACAAGGGTTTTTTTTTAAAAGCATTATAGAAAAGAAATTGTCTTTTGAATAACTGTGCATTGTCTCCATATAGCACACCCTTCCAAGTTATCTGATTCTGTTCTTTCACTGTCTTTGAACAACTTTTACAACTTTGAAAGTTTAGATAACTGACAGACATGCAAACTGTCCTGTCTGCACCTCCCCATGGAAATCCAGTCTATGCATCGAAAAACCCTTTCCACGTTCAGTTCAACATTCCTTTATTCCATATCAATTTGTGCTTTTCTGACTTTTCCTTTGAACGCTAGGAGGGCATCGAACAAGTTAAATAAAATTGTTAACATCTGGTTTTGTTTTTTTTTTTTTTTGCGTACCTAGGAGAGTCGTAATTTTACCTTTTCTGAAAATTATCTCTTAAGAACATCAATCAGGCTGTGCCACTCCCCAGCTTCACCACTTCCAAGCTTCCCATGGCATTTCAAATGAATGCCAAACATTTCCCGAGGTGTACAAAACACAGCACATGCTGGGCCCACCCTGCCCCGGGGCGCATCTCCTCGCTGCTCTGCCCCTTGTCTGGACACTCCCAACTACTCGTCCTGGCTTCAGCTCCCTGAGAACATCCAACCTATTCCTACCTGATGGCTCCTGCACTGGTTGCCCTCAGCCCGGAGCGCTCTTCTCATGGATGGCTAGTAAACACCCAGCTCAAGTGGTCCACCTCAGAGAGGTCTTCTCAAACCATCCTATCAAAAGTAACATCCCCGGGGCACCTGGATGGCTCAGTGGGTTAAAGCCTCTGCCTTCGACTCAGGTCATGATCCCAGGGTCCTGGGCTCTCTGCTCGGCGGGGAGCCTGATTCCCTTCCTCTCTCTCTCTGCCTGCTTCTCTGCCTACTTGTGATCTCTGTCAAATAAATAAATAAATAAATAAATCTAAAAAAATAAAAAATAACATCCCCATCCTATTTTCTATCATAGTTATTTCTACCTGAAATATGATCAATAATAGTATTAAGTATTACATGTTTTATATGTTGTATTTATTACATTAGTATACTGTTAACTATATGAGTATATATGTATAACGTATTTACTTATTATATTATGTGAATGTAATATACAGTTTGGTTAGTTTCCAGCTTATTTATTCCCTGCCCACCCCAATTCTATAATAGTGGGATCTTGGGATCTGCTTCCATTATATCCCCCAATGCGTAGAAAGGTACCTAGCACATAGTAGGCACTCAGTAAATATCTGTTGAATAAATCCTTGAGTGAGGGGCATCTGGCTGGCTCAGTTGGTAGAGCATGCAATCTTGGGGTTGTGAGTCTGAGTCGTGGGGGCATAGATCTTACTTCAAAAAAATCAACGAACCAACAAACAAATCCTTGGGTGAATAATGTTTCCAGAAGTAGTGAGGTCCCCAGCACCCGAAGTATTTAGGCATGGTATGTACAACCACTTAGCAATGTCATAGAAAAGCTATAGGCGTAGGCTCAGTCACAAAATAAAAGACCAGGAAGGTCTCTTCTAGTACTACGAGTCTACGATTCTGTGGCCACTTCACCGTCTCTGTCAAGCAGTGGGAAAAGCAAAGGAGTATCCTCAGCCCTTTCCCACTAAATGATGGCACGCACACTCTTGTTCCCGCCGCAATATCATCTCAGCATTAAAATGTTGAAGCTAATCAGACATTTAATTTCAAAGTGGAAGGTCATTATCTTGTCACAAAATTTTATTCCAATTACTTTTTTTCTATTATACGAAATGAATTAAAAGTAGCACAAAACATTGGGAGATCAAACAGTCAATCAGAAGCTCATTAAATATCATTGAAATTGGTGCAATAAAAAGCATTTCCCATGGCTGACTTATTATTTAAAAGCTATATTCTGGATGGCTCAAGGAATTGACATGCTGCCAATCAAAAACCACCCTGTCCATAAAGAGCCATTTGGCTTTAGAAAGTTCACTATTTTTGTGTGTGAGAAGAGTAAATATCTATGGAGATTTAAAGCATGGGTATCATTACCATCCTATCAGTCCCCATGAGACCCCCAAAGAGAAGATATCAGCAAAGTCACCATCTGATAATTTAAACTATAACTTACAGAAAGATGCTTACAAAGTGCTACCAGTGATTTTATAAACACCTCAATACATTACATTTCTGTACAATACTCAGCTAAGTACAATCCCAGGCAGGGATTAATGGTCAGTTACAAGTTTAAAATTGAGTCCAACTCCAAACTTGGAATAAATGCCCATTTTATTTTCTCAAGAGTGATTATTAAGCACTTCATTTTTTTCTCTGGCCCCAGATGTAGGTGACTATTAGTATGAGGATCTGTAAATGGATCATTTCTAAATTTCTAATATTTTTCCATTAGGACTCCTGTCCCCCACCTTGCCTTTTAAAGCTAAACCACTAGTTTTATAGAAATGACCACTTTGTGATGTGTAAGATGGCAGGTCCTTTTAGTTGGTAAAATATAACAACAGAAGTACTGTTCCCAGTCTCTTAAGATGTTTAAGTGGTTGGCAAGGATGATAAAAATAAAAATACATAATCATAAGACAAAGCTCTCAGGTATAGGAAATTACTTCTTCAGTAGGATTCAAAAATTTCTCCCCTCTAAGTCACCCCGCATAAACACTGCCACTACCCCAAATTTCTTTTCAAACGCCAGGACTTACTGGCAAATTATCTGGGAGTACAGTGGGAGGTAAACATTTCAATGCAAAATTCAGAACTGCTTTATAGAAAAAAAAGTGCGGGGAGGTTTGTTATCATTTATTTCCTCCAGTATATCATTCAATTTCAGCTGTCTCACATCTCAGAAGAAGCTCCCCCATTTCTCACTTATGTGCCTAAGAAACATCTCTCTGGCATCTCATTCTCTCTCCCTGTCTTTTACCAGCATTTCATTATTTCTTAACTGTCCCTCTCATGCTTGTCTCCCTTTTTCCTAGTGATCCACGTGTCCTCATTTAGCAGTTTTCAGAAGCCAGGGAGAAACGTTGCAAATAATGTTAAATATGATTAATATCTTGAATTCCTTGAAATATGACATGCATGAGTTACAATGAAACCTCTTTTATTTCCCCATGAAATGCTTTTGCATAATGAGAAAGAAAATGTCCTCTATGCCCTAATCAGCTCTGACAGTTCCTGGACTCCCAAATACTTTTATTTATGGCATTATTTATTTCATCTCTAATAAATGGAAGGGGGGGTACCCACAGCATGATCTGAAGAAGCTGCAGGAGAGAGGGAGACTATCTTGGGTGGAGGGGCACAGAAGCTGAACCAGCCAAGAGAGAGAAGGCGTCCAAGGTAAGGGAGATAGGGGAAATAAGAGGCCAAGGACCTGAACCCCCAGAAGAAAATGAGTCACTTTTCCAAGACTGAAAGGAAACTCCGAAAAGGAATGCAACTTCAGAGTGGAGAGAGGAGGGTCACACATCAAGGAGGAGATGCACTCAGATTCCTAACCTGGAGAATGAAGACTGACAGGCTGGAAACCAATTCTGGGAGGGAGTATTCTGGCACCGTCGCAGGCCTAGGAGAGAGGGATGATTTGCTCCAAGCAGCCTCTGGGAGAAGCCAGGGCACTCCTCAAGATTTGAAGACAACTCTACTCCATGGGGATCCTCCTCCAAACCACAGAAGCTCGTCTTTCATTCAATCAATTACTGGAATTGTGTGTCCTCCAGAAACACTGGCCTGATGGCCCCAGATGCAGTGAGAAGCTTGCTGGGCGACAGAGCAGGCCACCCTGGTTCTCACATTTACGTATATATCAAATGACATTGTTGAAGGCATCTAATCACCATTCCAAAGGGAGGTATCGGGTCAGATTTTTCCCTCAATTGCACAGAGTCTACGTGCTATGAGAAGTGAGGATATGAATTCAAATGATCTGGATGCGTGTCTGCACTCGGCCACACACTCCTGAGTGTCTGGCTTTGGGCAATTACCTCGCGGGGCCTCTGTTTACTCATCTGTAGAATGGGGTAAATGATTCTGCTACATTCTCTGGGCCCCTACTGGAAATTAATAAAATAATGTATAAGTCCGAGATCCCGTATGATCTTATGCTCCTGTGATCTGCATGAGCTCAAAGGTCAAGCGCTGGGTGTGGGCCGACCCGGAGAGGCGCACAACGCGAAGCGACCCTAGGTCAAATCCTTCAAGATGTTCTTTTCAAAAGGTCGGGGAGGATTTCCCGAGGGGTAGAACTGGCTGCAATACCTTCCCAAGGCACACACACCCCACTCCAACTACTCCCAGCCCCTCTGTGCAACCCCGAGAGTTTGGGGTCACGTAGGGGGCGCCAGGAGCTCATTTCCGAAGCTGAACCCCGCCCGCAACGGCAAAACCTCCAAGTCCGCACCTGGGGCTCCAAAGTCTCGCGCTGGCCGGGACCTCGCCCTGTTTACCCGCGCGCCCTCGGGATCCTGCTCTTCCCTTCCCTCCCCCCCGTCGGAGGCGCACACCCGGCGCGCGGACCCCTCGGGCGGCGGCGGCGCCGCCAGGCCCCGCCCCCGCCCCCATTATCATTAGCAGATATTACCCTAAACACTTGCTCTTTACCTCCTTTCTCCCTCCAGGCATTGGCGAGGCGGCCTGTCAATCAGCGCTCGGGCGGCAGCCCCCCGCGCGGGGGCTCAGCGATGCCAGCCTCAGCGACAGGCGGCAGTGGCGGCGGCGGCGGCGGCCCAGGCACAGGCACACACCCTCCCACACGCGCGCACTCGGGCAGAGCCGGCGGGCGGGAGGCGGAGGCACCCTCGGAGCCCGGCGCCCGGCGGGGAGGGGGCGTGCGACCGGGGACCGGCCCAGAGGCGCAGGATGGAGGAGGAGATGCAGCCGGCGGAGGAGGGGCCCAGCGTCCCCAAAATCTACAAGCAGCGCAGCCCCTACAGCGTCCTCAAGACGTTCCCCAGCAAGAGACCGGCGCTGGCCAAGCGCTACGACAGACCCACCCTGGTGGAGCTGCCGCACGTCCGGCCGCCGCCGCCCCCGCCGCCCTTCGCGCAGCACGCCGCCGTCTCCATCAGCAGCAGCGAGCCGCCGCCGCCGCCGCCGCAGCCGCAGCAGCAGTTCCAGGCGCAGAGCTCCTACCCCCCCGGGCCCGGCCGGGCCGCCGCCGCCGCCTCGTCGTCGTCTCCATCCTGCACGCCCGCCGCGTCCCAGGGCCACCTGAGGACTCCGGCGCCGCCGCCGGCGGCCCCCGCCGCCTCCTCATCCTCGTCCTTCGCCGCCGTCGTCAGGTATGGCCCGGGCCCGGCGGTCGCCACAGGCAGCAGCAGCGCGGGCAGCGACGGCGCCAGCCTGGAGCTCAGTGCAGGTACCGACCAACTCCTGGGCGCAACTTTCCTTCCCGCCCGGCTGCGGGGAGGGGTGGGGGCCCGGGAACCAGAAGCTGGGCATGGCGGACGCCGTTTCGCGCGCGCCGGGCCCGGCGGGAGGGGCGCGACGGGAGCCGGGCGAGCGCAGTCCCGGCTGAGAGAGTCGGGGCGTCGGAGCGCAGCCCCGAGGCCTCCACGCACCGGCGGCAACTTCTAGAGGATTCCGCGCCGCCGCCGCCGCGTGCGGAGCTTCCGACGGCGCGCGCGCCTCCTAACAGGTGGCTCGGCGCTCGGATCCGGCGTGGCGCCCAGGATGCGGGACGGTGGCGGTCCGCGGCCGGGGTCCGTCGGGGGAGGGGAGGCAGCCGCGGCGCGCCGGACACCCCAGGGTGGCGGCCGCGGCCGCTCGGGGCGAGGCAAGCGCTGCTCGGGCGGCGCTCGGGGACGCCCTTCCTTCACCCTCGGCGGCTGCACTTTTTCCTTCCACTTTCCCTTTACCTCTCTTCTCCTCTGGTTTTGCCTTCTCTTTCTCCTTCCTTTCCTTCCGATCCTCTTTTTCACCACCTCTTTGATGTACTCTTACTCTGCCGCGGTCCACTTGGCTGGCTCTGGGGCTTCCTTTTCTTCTTCTGTGCGCTTGTGTTTCCCGTGCGCGCGCGGTCCCTGCTCGGCGGCCCTCTTTCCCCACCCGCCCCGGAGTCCCGGCCCGTGGGGGCAAGAGAGCGGGCTCCTCTGCAGCGGCCAGGCGGCTGGACCTGGCGCTGGGCGCTGGCCCCTGCGGCGGACTTTAGGGAGAGGGACGTCCAGCCCCTCCCCCCCCCCGCCCCGGGGCACCCCCCCCCCGGGCGCTTGGGACCCGCCGCCCAAGCCTCCCCCCCCCGCCCCCCGCCAGGAGTGATGGGGCTGCACGGCGCCTCCGGGGCATCTGGGCCCCAGCTCTGACGAAATGCCTGGTGGGAGCGCCCACCCCAGGGCACAAGGTTCCTCTCCGCCGGGTGCCTTGCAGGAGCCCCCCTCGGAAAAGGCTGCTCTCCTTCGGGTTAGGCTCCGGGGAGGTGGGCTGGTAGAAAGGCCATAGCCTGGGGCCTGCGCCCAAGGGCACTCTGCGCTCCCTCGGGGCGCAGAGCCGCGTTTAGCTCGCTCCTGAGAACGAAAAGTTCCTGCTCTGGGCCTTTTATGGCATTTTAGAGCCCTCCAAATTCGTCATATCGGTGGATCCAAGCTATTGTCCTGATGAAAATATGAGCATTGTCTCTAAATGAGTTATAGATGCCTGAGCTAATGTTCTGTTGTTTGTCAATATTTTGACGCATGAAGGATTGGTTTTGAGAAAGAAAATCTAATTACAGGTAATAGTGAAGACTTGTTTTGTCACATCTCTCACTGATTTGGAGATGTTTGACGGCTTCGAGTGGGGTTCTTATGTAGGGGTGCTTATTGTTTGTGGGGTGGTTTGTTGTTGGGGGTTTTTCTGTCTTTTTTTTTTTCCCCAGTTGCTTTTGACCTGATATTGTGTTGTGTTTTTATATTATTGTTAGGCTACCCACCCACTTCCATTTTGTCCCTTATTACTCTTTTGTGTTCTCCCCTTTGAGTAAGGTTTGTGTTCTTTCTCTATTTGGACTCTTCTATTCATTCATGCCCATGTTTATTCCCTTGACCTGCTTTATCTTTGTTTTATATGGTGTTTCTCCCCGTTTGGGTTCTTTTCCCTTTTCCTATGTTTTGCCAATCCCTTTGCATAACCTTAGTTCCACCACGTTCACTGGGGGGTTTCCCCCCTTTTTATCTGCCTGCGAAGTCTTTAATCAACCTTTTGCTTCCTTTTATACACTATAAATCTGCCCCCTCGTTTCCATTTTTCATCCATAGTTTTAACCTGGCTTTTTCCTGCATTTCTCTTTTCTACACCAGCCACTTGCTGTCCTTGCCATGCTCCCTCCTGTTCTGACAGTGTCCTTGCTGTCTTTCATTCACAAGGAGTTTGTTTTTCCTTTTCACCTTGTTGTAAATGTTCTCTTTCAGTGTTTCTTCCTAGTTAATTTTGTCCTAGTTCATTTTGCCAGGTGGACATCTCAACGTCATTGCATCTAAAAGAGTGAAAGGGGGCTTTGTCTGATGCCCCATCAAACTCCCTATATTTTTTATTTCCTTTTATTCTCAAGGCTGCTGTTGCTGCTCCTTTTTTTTTTTTTTTGAGGTTATAGAGAGGTAAGCTTGATAGCACCAAGCACAGGATGCCATGTGCTTGTTGAAAAGATGGGAATTGGTTGGTAGGTTTCTTCCATGCAGTGAGGAAAATGGTCTGGCAGGGGAGAAAAAAAAAAAAGCCATGGTACTGGACATCATGAATTATGGTCCTAATATTAATCATTGATGGACAAAGCCATCTCTTAACAGGTACAGAGATGTGAGTGGCCATCAGAGGGACAGTCACCTGAAGAGCTGATTGGCTCTTTGAGGAACTAGTGGTTCCACTTTGAACCAATGAGCATGTGTGCACAGACTGACACCATTTAAGCATACTGGGGAGGGGGCTGGGGAGGTGGTAAGTTGCTTGTTGCACCCTCAAAAAAGTGTTTTGCAGCCTCTCCAGCTAGCTGGTAAACGGAAAATAGTCAAGACGTCCATGTGATGAATCGAGTCAGGGATAGAAGAGAGATAGCGGAGTGTCCAGAGTAAATGCAGGGAAAAGATGGAAAGGTTGAAGTGAATCTTATTTGCCATTAAGCGCCATAAACCATTGAGAGGAGAAATATGTGATTAAAAATAGATTTTTCAGCATTCTTATAAAATCTCATGAAGAGTATAATTTTCCTTAAAAGGGGTAATATACCATGGTTTTAAGAGCATATTTTTCCTCTGTGGGAGGCTTAGAGTTAAAACCCACGTAGATCTTGATATGCAGCCTAAATTTGGCATCAGGAAATGGGAAATTGCATCTTTAAGCAGAGTACAATCAAAAATGAATTACAATAAATCCTATATAATTGCATAGGTCATTCTCTTTAATGAGATTTTATTAACCTGACTGTCAAGCTTTTGAGTCAGGCAGATATTTTATCTTCTTCAACTGATAAAAGTGTCAGCTATAAACCACCATATAAATATTCATAAATCTACACATCTGTGGCAGCCTATCAGCATCATTCTTTTGGACATTAAAAGCATTCTAATTACTTTCTGTCTAGCAGAGCTGAAATGCTGCCTGTTATAGTATGTGCTTGGCAGGCATGATTGCTTTTGTTTGCCATCACAAATAGCAGCATCCTATTTTATATACCGATGGTCCAGAAAATATTCAGGGATTGACTGAGCAGGATGAATATTAGGAAGCACCATCTGGTTTTGATAGCACCGGGTATATTAACTCATCTGTTAATTTTTGACACATCATTGATTTATTTATTTAGAAAAATTGCATCCTGTTTTGCTGTGTTGATGTTTGCCATTATGAAAAGAAATTGGATGGCCTTTTTTAAAAAGACATAGTTCATTGATTTAAGACAAGGGTGATGCTCCCAAAGATGCTTTCATTTTCTAACTTCTATTTTCTATGCCATGAAGTCCTCTCTTCAGAAGTTATATTAATGTTTTAAGGAAATCCATCTATTTTGAACTAGCTGGAAATCCTTTTGGTAGATAAAACGTATGGATACGTGCTAGTAGATCACAAAAATTTTTTTCTGCTTCTGCATTTTTTATATTAATATATTTCACCCTTCGCTGGGCTAAAATCAAAAGGTTACCACTAATCTCGACTACTGTGATCGCCTTCATGGTAACAGAATACTCTTGGGTATAGGCTGTGATGGACAAATTCCATTCAAGGCTTTACTTACAAAGAAGGACATTAAAAAAAGGCGCCTGTGTTTGATTGCTGAGTTCCCATCCCTTATTCACTTATCAGATTTAGGATGGATTAAACCACTTAAATTTAGAAGAATTTCTAGAAGTGAATTTTTTAATTAAAAAAATAATCACGGATTCAGATTTTGGAATCAGACTAGGCACAATTTGCAACATGATATTATCCCAACAGATCGCACAGGAGAGCAAAATAAATTACAGGTGGTCACTTTACAGTGCTTCATGACTGTGATTTATTAACCTTTTGCAGTGTTTACTTTTAGAGAACTTAGGAATAAAGTAGGTAGTTTTAAAGCCCCTTTGTAAACTGTTGACTTTGTACTTCCTTGCCATTGCTTGCGTGGAGCATTCTGTAACTAGGGGGGAAAAGCAGTTAAAAAAAAATTCAAAATACATGTTCACACTTGGCTCAATTAAGAATCATGGGTCAGTGACCATTCGTTTGTGTTCGTATGAAAACAGAACTTTTCTCCATTTCTTAGCGTAATGGGCATTGCACAGTACTTGCATTTCTAATTATATTCTGTCTGGAAAGCTAAAGTATTGCTGGCTGCAATATGGAGTAAGTAGAAAGATGTGCTGTTTTCTGCCAAGTGTAATAGTAATATTTTTCATCATATTCTTCCACATATTGATGTGAAAACACTATTTCAATGTTTTAAGTTACCAAAAAGAAGAGAAATTCAACTTTAAGGCTTATGGTTGCTATTTTTGCATCTGTCAGCTCTCAGAACAAATTCAGAATGAAGCATTTTTAAAAAACTGAAGGCAAGAACTGTTTTTATGGTCGTAGCTACTCTCTGATATTCTGAGAGCACTTTAATACATTATCTTCATAATGTAGCATATTACATAATGATTTTTTTCTCAGCATATTACAAGTTTATCCTTCAATTAAAAAAAAACAAATCATGCTTATCCCCAAGTCAGGGTTTTTTTCCCCTTAAGATGTATACCCTAATGTGATTTATCAATATGATGAAAGCTACTGAGTGTGCTTTAGGACATGGAACAAATATATTCAAGCAATTCTATATAGGCGCTTCTATTTTAGCCTTTCTTTTCATATTTTGCTCCTTTCATCAAGGTTATGTTAGAAGTGTATAGGATGTAAATCATCCGGGTCTGTGCTGATTAAAATGCAAACAGTAAATACAACTTCAGGTCTGGAATGGGATTATAGGATTAAAATGAATGGAAACTGCTAGTGTGCTAGAATTGAAAATTCCCAATCAATATCATCCTTTGATTTTACTAATAAAAGAACAAAAACCCGGAAGTGAAAATGAGAATGCAACATCACCTTAAGTCTTCCCACTTGTATGGTTCAACCGTTTACTTTGTTTATTTGGTTTGGGTCAATGTAAAGAAATAACACCCACATATCTGAGGTCTTTCCCCCATTACTTTTTGGTTTAAATCATGGGCACAGTTCTTCCCTTCCACCTGGCAGGGGGCAGAGGCATCAATTCCAGCAAACATGCTGCCCATATCCACATCCCTTTTTCTCCCAGAGAGCGAGTGGACTTTATCCTTGCTGCGGCTTCAACGAAGTTCCCGTGCATCAATCAATTCTAGCCTGAAACTGTACCTGACATCTGGTTCTTTCTTCAGGACTCAAAAATCATTGTGTAAAAAACAGACCTGTACCTAATATTTGTGGGATTTAGGACAAGAGTGCAAATTCAGGCCTACATACCATATATCTAAATAATTAACTAACTGTTAAATAAAATATGTTCCATCCACCTATCCTGGTAAATACACCTTCTTAATGACCAGATTTGACTTTGGAGTTTTCAGCCAGCCCATGGCCTTCTCTCCCCACCCCCAGCTTCATCTTCCACTAGGAGGAACCTCACATACACAGGAATGGATGCCCCAGTCCAAACTTCCAGGCTCTGGCACCATGGTCTGTCTTTGGGAGAATGGCTCAGGGAAGAGTCCAACACAGGCCCTCGAAGCCGTTTGAGTAAGGAATTCCTGGATCTTGGGTACCTCACCATGGGGAGAGGGTGGGATGGAGGAGGACGGTTAGGGTAGGGGTCCCCCTACCTGTGTCTAAAGGTAGTATTGGTCCTAAGAGTGGGAAAGCACTGCACCAGGAAGAAAACAGCCTTGTGGACGTGCAGCCTGCCCAGAGTGTTCTAGCCACCCCAGCCAAGGATATATGAAATGCTCTAAAGTAAGACCTATTTATTTACAAGAGGCCCTGCATATAGTCAGTATATATTTTGCTGTCCCCATAGAAGCCCTCAAACATCTCACTATTTTTCATTTTTCAAGTTTATTCCCCCCCAAATACAGCTTGTCAACATGTTCAGAGATAACAAGTAGCTAGTTAAATTTCTATCGTAAATAGTTGCTGGCATCTAAAATCTGCAGTATTTTGTGGCCATTATTCTGGGTAGGGAGGAGAGGAGATGAGAGGCATCCACCACCTCGACGTAAGCCTTATAAAGCATCTCTCTGTTTTTATAAATAGTCCATTCTGGAAGGTGGTCTGGAAAGAAGGGAATGTACCTTGTGACATTTGCATTTGGGGCAAATTTTCAAGACCCTTAGACAACGCGAAAACATGTTTTCACAGTTTGAGGGGGTTTTGCTTGTTTTTCTAAACTGATGCTTTCCACTTGGTTTTTACTTTTCATTGATTGACAATTAATATGCTTTTGAATACATTTCTGTGAACTAACCATCACTCTCGACACATGCCATTTTAAGAGGCTTGACAGTCTAATGGAAGAGGCTCTAAGGAGAGACACTGCTGCTTTCCTCATGATACTTACACAGATTGGCCTAAACATGGTCCTTGACGAGAAATCCAAGTTCACAGATAAATGACAAGAAAGCATAGTGAACACAGATGTTGGCTAACACGGTTTTGCTTTCGGGCTTGTCATCGTTTGCCTTATAGGCCACTCTTTGTTTTACCTTAGATGTCTAGTGAGCTCTTCAAAAGGACTTATCTTTCTTCTCCATTTTGCATCTGGGAGCAACGTACTCGGCAGGGACCATATCAGCTGATTAATAGCAAGGGCATGAGGGCACTCCAGAAATAGAAGTAATGATTGCTGTAAGCCCTCCTATCAATGAGGAATTGAGTTGGCAGTGACTGGCTCGATTCATTAGAGTAAGGATATTAATGAAGCCAAAGGTGTGGGTTCAGACCTGTGCAGGCCAGTTAATGCCACAGCGATGGAAATCTCTATGTGGTGCCCAAAGTCACAGTCTTGCCATTTCCCAGAGGGAGGGGGTGGGGGAAACTCTTCAGGCACCCCTCTGGTTGCAGAATGACAGGAAGCTAATGCATCCTATCTCGTCCCCTTAGTTTGGGATGGAAAGTAGAAATACATATTTTTAACATTTTGAATGGTATGCTCAACGCTGAGGCCTTCACTTACCCCCTTCCCCTTGTCTTTGGCTATCCGTCTCTGATGTGTCTTTTCATGTGTTTCAGAGAGTCGAATGATCTTGGATGCCTTTGCCCAGCAATGCAGTCGAGTTCTTAGTCTCTTAAATTGTGGAGGAAAGCTTCTGGACTCCAACCATTCCCAATCCATGATTTCTTGCGTAAAGCAGGAAGGCTCGAGTTATACCGAAAGACAGGAGCAGTGTCCCATCGGGAAAGGGGTCCACAGTCAGACCTCTGATAATGTAGACGTAGACATGCAATATATGCAAAGGAAACAACAGACTTCTGCCTTTTTGAGGGTTTTCACTGACTCCCTACAAAATTACCTGCTCTCAGGGAGTTTCCCGACTCCAAACACCTCATCGGTCAGTGAGTACGGCCATCTGGCCGACGTGGATCCTCTGTCAACCTCCCCCGTGCACACACTAGGTGGCTGGACCTCCCCGGCGACCTCCGAATCCCACGGTCACCCATCCTCTTCCACACTGCCAGAGGAGGAGGAAGAGGAGGAAGAGGAAGGCTACTGTCCAAGGTGCCAGGAGCTGGAGCAGGAGGTTATTTCCCTGCAACAAGAAAATGAAGAACTCAGACGGAAATTGGAGAGCATCCCAGGTACCGTGCCGTTTTCCTTGCAAGCCACCTGTAGATCCTTCCTTTCCATTGTCTCAGCTCTGTGTGTGTGTGTGTGTGCGCGCGCAGGTGCGTGCATGCATGTGTAGGTATCTATTTTTCATTTTGGCCAGCAAGGGAGAAAAGTTGGGCAAAACAGGCACACGCATGGAGTGGCCTTCGCCTTCCAGTGCCAAATGGAAATTTCAGGATGAACTCCCAGCCTTGTCCTATCTATGTTTAAGTCGGTTGTAGGCCTGGAGACCACAGTCCTGTTCAAAGATGTCTCTAACCATGTAAAAGTGATTCCAGACTTGATCGGAGAATCCAGTAGGCCAAGTGCCATGAGCCTGGGTTTTCATCAAAAAGTGTTCCTCTCTTTTAAAAGCAGCTTTTGTATTTTTAAAGACTTCACTACATGTGTTTTATTAGTAGTAGAGAGTAAAGTGGAATGATTCTTTCAGAGGGGGGGATGTGAGGAGAACTAAACAAGTGGTCTCTTCTGTTCCGTTAATTTCTTGTCACTCTTGTTAAGTTTCAACAGGCATAGTCTCTTTTTAGCATGCAGGCTCCTCCTTAAAGTTAATAAGCAACTGTAAACTGAAAAGAATAGATTAAAGACAGACCGGTAATTAAGCTGATCCCACACTATTTGTGCCCCCTGGCGAAGCAGGCATTTCCTGCCTCTTAGAGACACTAGATCTGTGGAGTAGTAAAGTCATCTTTATGGCAAGATCTTCTCTGGGCTGCAGAGCCATTTTTTTTGCTATTTAAAGAGCGACCGATTTTGCTTATGTCTTCGAATTCATTTCCTATATGTCTGTGACTTAATAAAAGATGGTAAGATCATTAGCTAGAACGGTACCTTCAAAGCCTTTCCTTCATGCAGCCCATTGATAAAAAGTTTTAAGCATATATCCACCAATGGACACATTTATTGGTTAATTACATACATGTCCTACTTATACTAATATAGTGTGTTCAAAATAGGATGTATATAACACATTAAAATTTTTACATTAAAATTTTTAAGGCTGATATATAAATGTAAATAGAAAGTTTGTTCTTTTCCTGACTCAGTGTCTTTGAACCACCCAGTTTGGCAGCTGACTTAAAAAGAAGGAAATAGTGAAGACTACCACCCTCTTGTTTATTAGTACACATGCAAAACAAAAGCAAAAGCGAGCATTAAGAATTGCCAGATCAGAAATTTATTTTCCTTCCATCCCTTGATTTAAAAGCTTTCCCAAATGGACCAGAGTTTTGGTTCAGAATATTTCAGAATTAGATTTAGTGCGGTTGTGTTGTGGGGGAGAAGGAAGAGGTGAAGTTAATCCTTTCTCTCCCTTTGCACTTGAGCCCTGGGGTTAGATAAAAGGTCCCCGTCTTCCCATGCCAGGCAGAAAGCGACCGCAGGAGACATGGGTTGAACTCAGTGCAGTGGCCGCAGAACTCCACTGGGTTCGCCCAAGTCCAAGAGAGGGGGCCGGAGCTAACACTCTGTGGGAGTTTACAGCTCTCACAGTTCCACAAATTATAGTTAATTAACTTGGAGTTTTATCCCCAAAGGAGTATTTTCCATCTTGCTCCCCATCGTCCTCTTTCCCTGGGAGAGAAAATAGTGTTCTGGAGATCAGTGAATTCTAGATCCTTACTACATCAGCCGTTCAGAACTGTGGCTAAGAGTTTCACCGTGCGAGGACAGGTAACAGAATTGTCCAGAGTGGTAATGTCTAATTCCCAGTCCTGAATGCTTGTCCTCAGCAAATACCAAGTAAATTTGTGATTTAGTCCTCCTCCCATTTATCTGTACCAGGTGAAAAGTCTGTCATGGATAACTCCTTGCTGAGTAGCCACTAATCGACTGTCTCTGTTTCCCAGAAAGATGAAAATGCTGCAATTTCTTGAGCTTTCTAGGTGGTCCAATATTGAATGATACTTGTTGAAATTAGGCTGTGGTCACCACTGTTAGGGTAAACGGTCCAGCCCTGTTGAAAGCTCCCTCCTTAAACTTGAGTCAAAAGCCATTTCACATGGAGAACTATGATTTCAGTAAATAATCCATACTGAAACCCAGCTATATGAATGAAAATCAGTTTGTCTGGGTGCCTGGGTGGCTCAGTGGGCTGTGTCTGCCTTCAGCTCAGGGTCTCAGGATTGAGCCCCAAGTTGGATTCCCTGTTCAGTGGAGAGCCTGCTTCTCCCTCTCTCTCTGCCCCTCTCCCCACTCATGCTCTCCCTCAAATAAAATCTTTATGAAAAAAAGAAAAAACATTGGGGAGGGCATGTGCTATGGTGAGTGCTGTGAAGTGTGTAAACCTGGCGATTCACAGACCTGTACCCCTGGGGCTAAAAATACATTATATGTTTATTAAAAAATTAAAAATAAAAATAAGCTAAAAAAAAAAAAAAGAAAAGAAAATCGGTTTGTCAGTTATGAATAGAAAAAAAGTAGCATAAAATTCAAGAAAGATTTACTTATTTAAGGAGTACATGGGTGGCTCAGTTAGTAAAGCCTCTGACTCTTGATTGTGGCTCAGGTCATGATCTCAGGGTCGTGAGATCGAGCCCTATGTCAGGCTCCAGTTGCTTAAGATGATCTCCCTCTGTCCCTCCTTCCCTTCCCTGTGTATACACACGCTCTCACTCTTTAAAAAAAAAAAAAGTGATTACTTAACGCATGTACTCATTACATAGGGACGCCTTAGCATTAGACATTCAGTCAAACATGTTGCTTACAACGAAAACCTGAAGCAAAAGAAGGCATCACTGTCCCCTTCCCCATACTGCTCAACCTCTGTCTTTGGCTAAACAACAGACCAGATTGTGGGTGATCACCTATGAATACACCTTTCACTCCATTAATTATGAATTTTGGGGAAGGGGACCGTTATTTATAGACAGCCATTTGAAGAAAAGTGCAGCAAGTAATAAAGTAGATAAAGTAGTAAAGAAGAGAGGTTCAAAGTAAAAAGCCATCTGGTTTTATATGTTACAGGAGTACTTTGCAATCAGTAGTTCTCCTGGATAATTTGGGATGCATTTTCTCTAATCATTGTCGGGGTTTCCCAGCAGTTCCAGTAGGCCTCTGTTATTCTAAAAGCCAGTGCATTCCCAGGGAAGGACCGGGTACCTGGGTAGAAACTACCCGTATATTGTGGGATGGCTCTCCTTACAGCCAAGCAGGATGGATGAGTACAAAGGAGAAAGTAGCATTCAGAGGAAATAGGGTTAACAAAAAGGTAGGGACGCCTGCCCCAGGTCAGAGCTAGGACACTGATTTTAGTCCCTTCTCGGCTGCTCCTGAGTTGTGCTGTTGAATGACTTTGAGATTCCTGGTTTCTTAATTTTTTATTTTTTTCCTGAAATAAGCATTCATACCTGGCAGCAGTTCTGGAAGTGGGACTTCAAGTGAGCCTATTAGAATATTGGGGGAAATTAGCTCCCTAGGCAGCTATGAAAGGGGACAGGAAAGTGCCGAGAAGAAAGAGGTTGGGGAAGGTGCTCTTCCCCTACCACCTGACCGGGCCTGGGTTGCTGTATCCTGTGTCAAGGAGTCAGCAAAGACTTGTTGATTGTCAACCACATGCAAGCAAGGGCTCCTGGAGAAGAGTCGTCTGACTTCCCGCCCCCAGTGACTTGCCCATGTGGGCGGTTAAATATTGTCTCCTCAGGGAGGAGCCTCAGCCCCCACTCTTCGGTTTACATTATCACACCAGAAGTCAGAGAGTCCGTTGAAAAGTTAAAATTTTTTAGAAAAAAGTGAAGGTAAGTTAAAAGCAAAAAGCCACAGGGACACTTGGGTGGCTCGGTCAGTTAAGTGTCTGCATTTGGCTCAGGTCGTGATCTCAGGGTCCTGGGATGGAGTCCCATGTTGGTTCCCTACTCAGTGGGGGGGCCTGCTCTCTCTCCCTCTGCCCCTCACCTTGCTTGTACCCTCCTTGTGCGCTCTCTGTCCCTCTCTCTCTCACTGTCAAATAAATAAAATCTTTAAAAAAAATAAAAAAGTAAAAAGCCACAGAAGGAAATGATATTTGGATCAGGAATACGAAAAGCTGAGACATTATTGAAAGAAGGAAGATGTTGGGGAACTGTCTCCCCAGAGAAGGTGGCAGGTTAGGGTGAGCGCACTGGTTTAGAAAGCTTGTGGTCAGCACAAGGTGAGCTCCCGAGGGAGGGTGGATGTTAAATACCGTACATCATCTCATTTAAGATTCCACTGAATGCAAGATGCACCAGTATTCTGTATTCCACTAAGAAGGAAAAAAAATACTGCAAATCATAATTGCCCCTTAGAATTCTCTTTGAACAAGCAAATATGAAAAAATGTGGGTCTTAGAATCATAAAATATGGTAATTTTAGAAAATAGCTTCCAAAGTAAAATAATTACGACATGTTAAAAATACCTTGAGACGTTCTAAGTGCCAAATATACAGGAATATACTACTGACATCATTAAAGGACTTCCTACTTTATAAAAAGCACATTTAGGATTATCTCAATTTATCTTTACCTCTCCCAACAAATATTAACTTTCCCACTTTATGGACAAAGAGGTTGAAATCAGGACAGGAAAAGCCTGGGGCAGAGCTAGAGTTATAATCCAAGCCTTTCGACTCTAGATCTAGTTTATTACCCTTTTCACCCGAAAAATACGGTCGATTCGCACACTTCATTGTAGTTACTTTCTATAAAGTCACTGTCGACACTGAATTAACGAATCCCGAAGCATCACCCCTCGGGGAAATACGGAGCTGGGTTTCTAAGGACCTCTGGTCACATTTTTATCAACAGATCGATGCATATTTATGTATGTTTTTGTTTAAAGAGACCTAATTTAATAGCATTGTCGGAATAACACAACTCACAGCCAGCCGCACTGTATCCTGCTGTGAATGAGGCTTACCTGACACGTGTTTTCTCCCTGAGGCTCCTCTTGGCCTTCCTGCACACAGGTCCACCAGACAGCCCTCCAGCTCTGCGCTCGGGGTCCCTTTTAAAT